GAAGAAAGAGAAGTAAATGAAGAAATATTTGAAGAAAAATCAGATTTAGAAGAAACGTCTAGTGATGATGAATAAAAACAAGAATAAAACTAATTTCGAAAAAATTATTAGGATTGAGGACTTGATCTGCAATAAATGACCCATTTCATTAAGGGTAAAACTGACTTTTTAACAAAAAACTTAAAAGGCCACTATTCATAGGTCATTTTGCAAAATGTCCCACATCAAAAGATCTTGATAGACTACAAATTGTTTGAATACACTAACCGTGGATGCCTTCAAGAAGGTGGGACTATTGCTAGTAACAGAAAACATGTGTCCAATTACATAACAAAATGCCAATGCATATATTCAACTAAAGTAATGAAAAACATTATTAACAAACTAACCATACTTGAGGAATCTACTGAACTGCAAATCCTAAAGGCTTTGAGGTAATATATTAACTTGTTTCATTAATTTGCATGGAGGATCACAAAATCAAGTACCTACAAAACCAGCTTAAAATACTAAAACAATAGATAACCCACTGGCCAACAGTCCCCTCATGGAATGGGCTACAAAGTAAAATAAATAAATACTGAAAATAATGAAGTAAGAAATATTAAGTGCCGTTTTGACTTAGCAAACGAATTCAAAGTCCAAAATCCCTCATACGTCACAACGAAGCTGTGAGGTTTGAAGTGGATTGAATGAAGAAGAGAAATGAATGACTTGTTTTATTCCTACCACCACCACCGCCGCCTCACTTTGTTTCCATTTAATCTTATCCCTTTTAATTTAATTAATGTAATTATTATTATCTTTTTGCACGTATAAGTTTGCCAGAACAAAAAGATATTTTGTATATAAACAGATGCCAAAGAATAAGAAGAATGAATGATTTGTTTTATTCATATATTCACCAACGCCTGATTATATTTTTATTTAATCTTGTCACCTTTATAGTCGATTACTTTTGGTGACACCAAATAATTAACACAGTAAGTTGGAAGTATAACTATGTTTTTAACCTCTTTTACTTTTTCCTATATACTTGCAACGACTAAGGCATTATTGATTTTATAACTGAAATATAACTTCAAGGAACAAAAAGTTCTACAAGTGAATGATTAGAGAATCAGTAATTTTAGCTTGCGATCACGAATAATCAAGAATCCGTAACCTCGTGGGGGTTCGAGAGCAACGCCCCTGACAAGGATCGACCTGCCTGGTCAAGTCACGGGGTCGAGGGGGCAGCACCCTTGTGAGGGTTCGGGGGCAACGCCCTAAACGGGGATCAACATGTCCGATCAGGTCGCGGGGGTCGAGGGGGCAGCACCCTTCGTGGGGGCTCGGGGGGCAACGTCTCCGAAAGGAATTCGAATTTTCGTGTATGTGTTGAAGAGTTTATCCATTGGAAATAATTTTTTTTTTTTAGCAAATATCAAAGACGATAAAAGTAGGAAAAAATAATATTTTTAATGGCCTTGTTTTTAAAAAAAAAAAAAAANTGGGGGCTCGGGGGGCAACGTCTCCGAAAGGAATTCTAATTTTCGTGTATGTGTTGAAGAGTTTATCTGTTGGAAATAAATTTTTTTTTTAGCAAATACCAAAGATAATGAAAGTAGGAAAAAATAATATTTTTAATAGCCGTGTTTAAAAAAAAAAAAAAACTACTCCGCACATTACGGAGGCACGGAGCAGTTGCTCCGTCCCGTGCAGCACGAAGATAGCACGGCTGTCTCCGTGCGCACGATGTCTATAAATTTTTTTTTTTCCTTCGTCCTTCTAGAGCCACCATGAATGGTTAATACTCTTCTTATCACACAACTATTGAATTTGCTAATTTACCAAATATCAAACACCATTTAGCCCTTTGCAAATTTCAAATCCGACTCCAGAAAAATATATAAATAAAGAAGAAGCAGAAATCACTACGAGCTGTTGGTCTGAACTTGCGAACTGAAGAATCAAAAATTTCCTTGAGTCTCAAAATATCTGATTCCGTCCAGCTTCTTCTCTTTGATTTGTGAGTTTATGAGGCTGATCATATTAGATAGTCACTCACTACCATTATCAACAGAAGTTGGCCTATTTTTTTTTTATTTGGCACCAATATTACAGGCAATTTGGAAGCTTGAAAGCCGACTAATTTATTTGTTGTTTGAAATCTCAAAATATAATAAGAGAAGAAATTGTGTCATTGCAATTGCATTTAGTGCATTTGCATGTATAGTGTGGAAAGTGGCAAAATACAATGTAACTGAGTCAGTTTGCAGATATATATTTTTTATTTTTATAATTAAGTCGGCAAATTTTTTTGTCCACATATGGAACAGTAATACAAAGGATAAACAAGTTTCAAACCAGATGAATGTGAAAATCAATGTGACAAAAATAAATAGTGAATCTCACATTCACTCTTTTAAGAGAGCGAGGAACTAGAAGCAAAACTCCAATATTATAGCTAGTTTTTCTCGTGATTGAAACGTGTCCTTTTGGGTTCGAAGTCAGTAGTCAATATAAATGAGGGTTTTAAAACCTTAGTGAGCCGGAATTGAGCCGGAATTTATAATCCCTTAAAATTATTATATTAGGCAAAAGAAGTCTAACGAGTCCTCTGCACGCGAGGCAACAAGTTAGCCGAAGACTGGCGCCAAAGGGAGCTAAAGTTCGTTATATTTGGATTCTTGATAATAATAGCCCGAATGATTCGATCTGCCTTCCATTTTTATTCAAATTT